GCAGGGTTTAGGGCTGTTGTGCATAGGGTCGCTATGAGTCGCAAACGACTCGATGACACAACAACAACAACAACATGCAGCCTTTTGTACTAGAAACTCCAGTCAATTTGTTGGGTAGAGATCTTTTACAGCAACGGGGAACCCAACTTACTAAACCCACATCAAGAATTACTGATTTAAATCCTAAAGTATTTCCTATGCTACAGAGAATGAATTATTAAGGTGGTGGAGTAGGACAGGCAGAACAAGGAATTACCAAGCCTCTTATTCCCGAACAGTGACCACTTCGATCTGGCTAGGGTATCCTTTTTCCTAGGGGCTATTGACAGAAATTAAGCCTGTAAAAATTAAATGGAAATTTGATAATCCTATTTGGACACCTCAGTGACCTGTAACTCCAGAAAAATTACAAGCTTTATAAACTTTAGTTGTTGTTGTGTTGTTATGTGCCATACTTTAGTAGAAGACTAATTATATAAAGGTCATTTAGAAGAATCATTTCCTCCTTGGAATTCATCTGTATTTTTTTTGTAAAGAAAAAAATCAGGTAAAGGCCAATTATGAGTAGATTTGAGGAGTGTGAATGCTAATATGCATTTAATGGCAGCCTTACTGCTTGTATTACCAAATCCCATGGCTTTACCTTTAACATGGGATTTAATAATATTAGATTTACAAGGTTTTTTTTTATACCATCCCATTATATCCTGATCATAAAATATATTTTGCCTTTTCTGTTCTGGCTTTAAATCAACAATCACCTATGAAAAGAATGTTTTGAGGGACTAGTCCTTGGACAGGGACATTATGCTTGGAAGGGGTGGAGGAACAGAGAAAGAGGAAGAAGGTATATGACATGGATTGATTCCGTGACTAGGATAATGAGGGTAGGTTTATCAGAGACAGTAAAGTTGGCACAGGATAGAACAGGTTATAGCAACAACTAATTGTGTTTGTGTGTATGTATATGTGTGTATGTATATCTATCTATATCATCTATATTTATATAATGTTGTTATGTGCTGTTGAGTCACCTGTGACCCATAGCAACCCTATGTGCAACAGTTCTAAAGCCTGACCTGTTCTGAGCTAGTCTCACTGACTCTGACACACCTACACTCATTAACTCAGTTACTATATCAATCCATCTCACCCAGGGTCTTCCTCTCCTGTATCATCCCGCCATCCTTCTAAGCATGATGTCCTTCTCCAACGACTGGTCTCTCCTGGCCATATGCCCAAAGTATGTAAGGCGGAGCTTCAAAATCCTAGCCTTCAAGAAGAAACTTGGTTTCACCCTCTCCAAGACAGAATTATCTGTTTTATTGGTACTCAGTGGTATGTTCAAGACTCTTCTTCAGCACCACAACTCAAAGGCTTCAGTTCTTCTTCTGTCATCCTTAGTCATTGTCCAGCTCTCTGATACATAGTAAATAGTTGTGAAGACCATGGCCTGGATTAGTTGTATCTACGCATTGATGAAGTTAAGTAAAAGAAAGAAATGATGAGGTAAGAGCACCAAATAGAAATTTGGAAAAGAAGTTCAAGAAGACAAAAATATGTCAGCTGTAGTCATTATCTAGTTTTCTGATGTATCAAAAGTAATTGTGAAGACCATGGCCTGGATCAGGCACACCTTACCTCTAGACTGACACCATTGCTTCTCAGTACTCTGGAGAGGTCCCTCAAAGCAGATGCTCACAGTTAAATTTGTCTTTTGATTTCCTGATTGCTGATGCCAAGGGTGTTGATTGTGGAGCCAAGCAAGCTGTAATTGTTTACAATCTCAGTTTCTTCTCTGTCCATCTTTAAGCTTCCACCTAGCCCAGTGGTGAGAATCTTTACTTTCTTTAGTCGAGCTTCAATTCATATTGAAGTCTATCCTGAGGACATGTGGTTTAAATTCACCAGCAGCTTCACAGGAAAAAGATGGGCTATCTCCCCCTGTGCCATTAACTGCCTCTGAAAACCCACAGGAGGGTCAACTATGGGTTGCTTCAGACTTGGCAGTACACAACTCTCTCTCATTTAAATTTATATTTATAGTTACAGTTATTACAGTTATATTATTTATAGTTATATTTATACTCTGGTGACTTAGTGTTAAAGTCTTTTGCTAAACAAAAGACATTCAGTTCAAATCCACCAACTGTACCCTGGGATAAAGGGAAAAAAGAGGGATAATCTTCTCTTGTGGGATTTACTGTCTCTAAAAACCTGCTGAAGGCTGAAATGTGTTGGTTCTGACTCCATGGCACACAACAACATCATGTGTTTCTAAGGGAAATCTGGCAGTTTATTGATAAGGAGTTACCTGCCAAAAACAAGCTGTTCAAATACACCAGTCGCTCAACGGAGAAAGACAATCTCCTCTCTGGAGATTTCTACTCTCTGGAGGGTCAGCTATGAATCAATTCAGACTGACCAGCAAACCACCACCTCTCTCTCTCTTAGCTAAACATTTGCCATTTAAACATTTAACACTCATATGTTAGCTTAAAGTGTCAAATGACTCCTCATCAAAATAAAGAATAATGCCAGACATGTAAAATTAAAAGTGCTTTCTCTAACTAATGTTGACTCTTCACAAAGATTACCTGAAGATATAATCTTATTATTATAATCAGCATTTTTTAAATGATCATACCGAGGTAAATAACAGTCCTAAATTGGTTCTCAAATCATAGACAAAGCAGAGAATCTGGTTGCCTAGTCCCTGATCCTCTGCTAAAACCAATCATACTGTAAAAGTGATGACTGCAACAATGAATGAATGGAAATCCAAAATCTCTGTAAATGTTCATTGAAATTAATAATAAAAAAAAACCAAAAAAAGTGATGAGTGAACCAAATTCAATAAGGTTTATTTTAATACCCACCAATAGTGGTCTAGTGGTAGTGTGTTGTCAAACCAAAGACATGCAATTCAAATCTACCAATTGTTCCACTGGAGAAGGATAGATTGTCTCCTCTTGAGTGATTTACTGCTTCTGAAAACCTACTGGAGGGTCATCTATGAGTTGGTTCCAACTCGACATTGTATATCACAATATAAAGTAAATTTTAATTTTTTTTGTTTGTTTTTAGGTTCTATTGAGTCAAGTCTGACTCATAATGACTCTATGAACAGCAGATCTGAACCCTGTCCTATCCTAATAATCTTTGACACACTGGAGGCCTTTGCTGCAACCACTGTGTCAGTCCATCTAGTTAAGGGTCTTTTCTTATTTCTGACCTTCCATCTTTCCAAGCATACCATTCCTAACAATATGCTCAATATATGTGAAATGATGTTTCACTATCCCTGCTTCAAAGGAGCATTCTAACTGCACTTTTCCTGAGATATAGTTAATATTAGCAAATACTAAAATCAATAAAATGAGGTTTTTAATGCATCTCAATCAACTTTCATCTCATCAATAGAAAAGCCTAAAATGTGAGCAATTATCCAGGCTGATACTCAATTCTTGGGGAAAAAAATCCCACAAACCCACAATAGGTTGTTTCCAAATCCTTGCCATTGTGTACAAAGCCACAATAAACAAGGGTGCACATATATCTGCTTGGGTGCTGGTTATGGTCTCTTTGAGATATATTCCCAGTAGTGAAATTGCTGGGTCAAATGGTATTTCTATTTGCAACTTTTTGAGAAAGTGTCATACTGCCTTCCATAGTGGTTACATCATTTTATACTCCCACCAACAGTGAATAAGGGTTCCAGTTTCTCCACAACATCACCAGCATTTGTTGCTTGCTGTTCTGTTAAATTTTGCTATTCTCACTGGAGTGAGATGATATTGCATAGTTGTTTTGATTTGCATCTCTCTTAGGGCTAGTGATTTTGAACATTTCTGCATTTTTTTGTCATCTGAATGTCTTCTTTGGTGAAGTGTCTGTTCATATCCTGTGCCCATTTTTCAAAAACCAACTCAAAGTGGACCATGGACCTAGAACTAAAACCAAGAACTATAAACTTTATTTTTTTAAAAAAAAAGCTTGGCAGAACTCTAGAAGTCCTAATCCACAATATAAATAGTCTTCCAAACATTCTTAAAAATCTACATCCAGAAGAGAATAAAATAGATGAATAGGACCTTCTAAGAATTAAATCCCTGTGAACATCCAAAAATTTCTCCAACAAGGTATAAAGGGAAGCCACAGACTGGGAAAAAAATATTTGATAATGACATATCAGATAAGGGACTTAAATCTAGAGTTTATAAAATAGTTGAGCACCACAAGAAGATAAAGGTAAACAACCCTGAGTACTCTTTCAATACAGAGATGATAAAACTTCCCATCACATCCTTTGGGTATGTTGCTAGGAGGGGCTATTTCTTGGAGAGGGACATGATACTCAGAAAGATGGAGGGCTGACAAAGGAGAAGAAGACCCTCAACCAGGTGAAGTGACTCAGTAACTGCTGCAATGGGCTCTAGTATATCAGGAAGTAAGAGGATGACACAGCATAGAAGAAGGTTCAGATCTGTTCATAGGGTTACTATGAGCTGTCTCAACTTGATGGCACCTAACAACAACAAGAAGCTTCATCTATCACTTTAGGTGTTTGCCACACATTCTATGTACTGGATTTTAAAATATTCCTAACAAAGTTGATGAACACAAATCATGGAGAGGTTAAACAAGGAAAAAGTGCAAATCAATGAAAGATAATATGCTTTTATTTGCATACTAGCAAATGAGATTTGAGATTTACTTCAAGATCTGTATGAAATTTTTCAGATTATAACAAGGAGACACATTGAATAGAACTTAATTTGATCGGCTTTGATTTCATGAAGACAGCCCTGAATCCACCCATTAGCACATGCTGATGCTTTCTTGTTTTACATTAATCCTATAATTGAAAAGAAAGCTAGAATTTGATTGCCCATGTAGAACTTTTACATCAAAATATTAAGGGGTCACAGTGATAACATTTGGCTCACCCACTCCCAGACATGGTAAGTTTACTAGGATTCATCTTTTCCCCCATAATAATGGTGGCATTTATTCTTGGAAGTTTTGCTAATAGTTTCATAGTGCTGGTAAAATGCAGTGACTGGATTAAGAGACGAAAGATGTCTGCAGCTGATAGAATTCTCACTGCTCTGGCGGTCTCCAAAATTATTTTGCTTTGTATAATATTAATGCATTGGTATCTAATGATATTTGATCCAGCTTTACATGGATTAAATGTGAAAACTATTAATATTGCCTGGGCAATAACCAACCACTTTAGCATGTGGCTTGCCACTTGCCTCAGCCTATTTTATTTGCTCAAAGTAGCCAATTTCTCTAACATACTATTTTTTCGTCTAAAACAAAGAGTTGAAAGGGTAGTTTTCATGATATTTTTGGGAACTTGGGTCATTTTAGGTCTTCAGTTTGCTGTGACGAGCCCATATCACAGCAAACAGATGAATAAGTATGAAGGAAATATGACTTGGAAGAGAAAAAGGAATGAAAATGAGCCATTTGTAGTCGAGACGGTATACACACTGACAACTTTCATGCCTTTCATAACATCCTTGATCTCTTTTCTGCTGTTATTCTACTCCCTTTGGAAACATCTCAAGAATATGCAGCTCAATGGAAAAGGACTCCAGGATCCCAGCACCAAGGCCCATATAAAAGCCATGCAAACTGTGATCTCCTTTGTTTTGCTTTTTGGACTTTATTCTCTGTCTGTTGTTACATCATTTTGGGGTTCTGATAATACACAGAATAATGTGATCTTCATTCTTTGCCAGCCTTTTGGGATTATCTATCCTTCAAGCTATTCATTTATTCTGATTTTTGTGAACCAGAAGCTAAGACAGGCCTTTCTGTCAGTTGTATGGCAGAGAAGGTGTAGTTGAAAGAAAGTAAATCCTCAATTCAAAGAATTGTTAACATAGACATTGTGAATCTTATAGCATAATACACACTGATGAAGTTTTGGAGGTACTTAGTATTTCCTCCTTCTGTATTCCTAATGTATGTAACTGCTTTGTTTTCAAAAGTGTACCTTATAATGTATGCAACCTAAGATTACATATACAGGAAGCACTGGTTCCATGATGGAATATGTTTTGGACTGCTAACAATAGGGCCAATAGTTCTAACTCACTAGCCTCACCAAGACAGAAAGTCAAGGCTGTTGCTGCCACTAAGATTTATAACTTTGGAAACTTGATAGGGCAGTTTTACTTTATTTCAAGGTGGTTATAAATTGGAATCAGCTCCATGGCAGGGATTTGGGTGTGGGTGTGTGTGTGTTCATTCATGTATGGTACATATGTATATCATACAAATTTATATATTGTACAAATTTTATACATAGACTAAGCTTTGGTGGGTGGCAAGAAGCTGCACTGCAATCCTGAAGGCATGTGGTTCAAGGCCACTTAGCAGCTCCACAGGAGAAAGATGGACAGTCTCTTCCCATGAGAAGAGCTATCTCTGAAATTCCACAGGAGTGTCAGGTATGGGTTGTACACAACAACATATATGTTGAGTCATCTGGGACCCATAGCGACCCTACTATGCAAAATAGCTTTAAACTCTGCCCTATTCTGAGCCAATCTCATCATATCCAACAGACCTAATCCCATTTCTCCAGTCACAGAGTCAATTAAACTCATCCTGGGTCTTCTTCTCATGCAATGTCCCTCCACCCTTCCAAGCATGATGTTCTTTTCCAAGGACTGGTCTCTTCTGGCCACATGCCTAAAGTAGGGGAGACAGAGCTTCAAAGTCCTTGCCTCCTGGGAGCAGCTAGCTTTCACTCTCTCCAGAACGGACCTGTTTGTTCTCCTGGCAGTCCACAGAATGTCCAGTATCACAACCCAAAGACATTGATGATTCTTTTATCATCCTTAGTCATTGTCCAACTGTTCAATGCATAGCAAGTAATTGTGAAGACCCTGGCCTGGATCAGATGAACCTTAGTCTCCAGACTGGCATTGTTGCTCTTCAGCACTGTTGAGTGGTCTCTGGCAATAGACTTTCCCATTGTAGTTCATCTTTTGATTTCCTGACTGCTGGTGCCAAGATTACTGACTGTGGAACCAAGTAAACTGAAGTTATTAACAATCTCAATCTTTATTTATCATGGTGCTGCCAATTGGCCCAGTAGTGAGAATCTTTGCTTTCTTGATGTTGGTCTTAATCCATATTGAAGACCACAGTCCTTGACTTTCTGCAGCATACATCTCATGTCTTCCTCAGTCAGCAGCAAGGTTGTGTCATGTGCATAATGCAGGTTGTTGATGAGTCTTTTAATCCTGATGCCACATTCTTCATAAAATCCAGCCTCCAAAATTATCTGTTGTGCATATTAACTGAAAAGGAGATATGGAGATAGGATGCATCCTTGACAGAAATGGTTCAGACCAGGAAGTGTTTCTTTGCTCTGTTCTGACTACTACTACCTGGTCCAAGTGTAGATTTTGCATGAGCACAATTAAGTGTTCTGGTATTCCCATTCTTCTCAAGGCTGGTCACAATTTATTGTGATCCATGTAGTCAATTGCCTTTGCATAGTCAATAAAACACAGACATTTCTCTGGTACTCTCTGCTTTATGTCGAGATCCATCTAATGTTGACTATGATTTCCCTAGTGCCATGGCCTATTCTAAACCCAGTTTGCACTTCTGGAAGTTCTGCTGATGTACTGTTAGAGTGACATCCACTTCCTAAATAACATGCCTCTGAAAATTCTATGAACTTTGATAAATGATGAAAGTTATAGAAAGGCTTCCGGCCTTTTGTTCATAAGGTCACTATGAGTCAGTCGTGCTCAACTCAACAGCAATCAACAACAAATACTGTTCCAGTTGTTTCTGGATAATCTTCAGCAGGATCTTTCTTGTGTGTGTCGTTAGTAATATTGTTCGATAATTTCCGCACTCTGTTGGGTCACTTTTTTTTAATGGGAATAAATATAGATCTCCTCCAGTCAGTGGCAAGGTGATTGTCCTCCAAATTTTTTGGCATAACCTGATGAGTGCCGAAATATATCAGTTGGTATTCTATCAATTTTTGGTGCCTTGTTCTTTGCCAGTTCCTTTAGAGTAGCTTGAGCCTCCTTCTTCGTCATTATTGCCTCTTGATTATAGGTTATGTATAAGAACATTTGGAAAATATGAGAAATGATTTCTTATTTGAGTGAACAATTTGTTTAAAGAAAAACTTTTACAAATTCCTTAGAGTCAAACAGCTACCTGTGTTATACAAAACTATCCTGTGTTATTATCTGTAACTGTTAAGGTTAAACGTCAATTGGCTAGGCTATGATTCTCAGATTTGTCAGACATTACACTGATGCTCTTCCACAGTATAGCATAATATAGTCACTTTCATGATATGATCCTATTTAATAAAATCACTATAATGATGAGATTTGATATGGTTTAATCACTCTTATGAGGAGTTATGATGTTAGCATCTAATGTGTTGAAAGAAGTTTCCTGGAGAATCCAACAAGACTAATTCTTGTTTTGATACCTACATCAGACTTCTTATCATTCACTTGCTCTTTTTTTGTTGGATGTGAACCAGCACCCTATTTCCTACCTTGCAAATTTGGGGTTTGGTAACTCCTGTCACCCCATCATCTGGTACACTGCCATCTGACTTGCTGGTTTGGGTTCCACAGCTTCAGCGATCTTGAGAGTATGTTCCCAAGCCATGGATTTGGGACTTGCCATCCAACCTCCACAACTATAGGGACTATTTCCTTGAATTAAATAGCTCTCCACAAATTTATATATGCCTTTCACTAATAGTTCTTCTCTAGAGAATATCCAAAATTAAAGCCAAACTTAAACCACAGCCTAAAATACTGTTACACAATTAAAGAAATGTATAACCCTCATTTAAGCATTAACAAGAACTCACAACTTTTTTCAGGAAACCATTACTAGTTTCCCTAGTGGTAAGAAGTTATACTGCCAATCAAAAAGACACTTGATTCAAATCTACCAGCTGCTCCGTGGGAGAAAGATGGGAACTCTCCTCTTGTGTATTTCACCCATAAGGTTTCCCGTAAATGATTGTGGGGGTAACTACCTCCAAAAACCTGCTGGATGATCAACTATGTTCAGTGACATGTAACAACATCAACACAAGTATCACAGTGTATTTTTATTTCATTCCATGGACTTCTAATCTTATAAATGGTAAGGGCATTAAATTCTCAGTCATAAATTGAAGATGCATGTTTGCAGTATATTTTATTCCATCATGAATTCTTATCGTGTTCTAGAAAGAAGAAGCAGTCTGATCTCCAAAAAAAATTATAATATTGGAAATTATTTGGACAGTTTTACTCAGTTCTATAGTGCTGCTTGGTTGGGATTAATTCAATGTCAATAGATTAGTGTGTAACAGAATTGTTAGGAAATGATGTACACAATAAGAGAAACATTCTGAGTGAATTATAAATATTTTGTGAAAACAAATAGTACTGAACAAGATTAGATTTAATTCAATTAGGTGAACAACTTAAAAAGTGAACTGTATAATAGAAATGAAACATGAAAATAGGTGAAAGATCAATAAAACTATTAACCTTAAAGTGAATTGTCTGTCTCCTTATCTGATTTATTGCTTTATCATATTTGTCTCTCTCTTTTTTTTTTCTTTTTTAAAGATAGGTTTTTAATTCAAGCCCTGATTCCACAGAATGGAAACAGATTCCAGAGAGTCTGAGACCATATAGCTACCATACAGAGCGGAAGCTGACTCCTACTTGAAATATGCATCTTTGTCTCTTAATGCAACATATATAAAGACAGAAATCCTATCTTTTTATTGCTGACTCGCCAGGAACTGAAGGAAAGCAGTTTGTCATAAATGATTTTATGATGAATAAGTAAATGTATTAGATTCATCAGGAGTAAAATGGTCAATGGTGCCAAGGAGAGACAGGTCCTTGGAGAGGGACATCAAGCTGGGTAGGGTTGAGGGACAGCACAGGAGGGGAAGACCCTCTATGAGGTGGATTGATTCAGTTACTGGGGTAATCGGAATGGGTGTGTCAGAGGCAGTGAGATTGGCACAGGATAGAGCAGGGTTTAGGGCTGCTGTACATAGGGTCGCTATGAGTCGCAAACGACTTGACAGCACATAACAACAACAACAAGAAGTAAATGTATTAGATTCATTAGGAGTAAAACCACTTATAAAACCTACAGATGGCATGGGTCTTCCTTTTCGGGTTTCACACTGATGTAATAGTCCTATCTAAATATCTGCATGTTTCACAGAAAAGCACAGCTATACTGTAATCTCAGGGGAATTTAAACCATCTATATGTTTAAACCATCTATATGTTTAAATCATCTTCAGTTAAGAACTGAAATGAAACACAGGATTGATATGCTAGCAATTAGTGATCTGAAATGGACTAGTACTGGTCATTCTTAATCAGACAGTCATAGGGCTTACTGTCTGGGAAGGACAAATTGAAGAGGAATGGTATTATATTCATTGTAAAAAAATGTCAACATCTGTTGTAAGGGACACTTCTATTAGTGACAAGATAATAAATGTACTCACGTAAGGAAAAACTGTTAATATAACTACTATTTAAATGATATACTAAAGCTGAACATAAGAAAATTGAAAATGTCTACTAACTTTTGTAGTCTGGAATTTGTTAAGCACGTAATTAAGAGTTACTAATAATGATTGGTGATTAGAATGCAAAAGACAGAAACAA